ATATGTTGACCCGGATAACCAGTTATCACCATACCAAATTTCATCAAAATCCCTCCAGTGGTTTTTCTGTGATGCGGTAACAGACAGAGAGACAAAAATTCTAAAAACTATAGATTCGGCCTCTGTATCGATAATATTGACTATTTCAATAAGATTTTCCAAAAAATATTTAATGTACAGATTCAACTCAGTTACAATTTTATTATATGTATAGACTAGTGATCAGGTTATTACAATATACTGATATAATAATGTTTAGGATTTTTTTTCACCAAGATGATTTGTACCAGGACAAAAAGTATCTTACGATACCTTGTCCCATAAATTGACTTTGTAAAGATAAAATCATGGCGTTATAGATATTTTTCTTTTCACGATATTTCTAACAATTACTTGTTACTTAGATTTATGCAAATATTTTGAATAAAATTATCTTTTCTGATTTTTTCACGAATTTATTTTGATTTTTTCCCAAACGTTTCTAGTTTCTAGTTAGTGTCTAGTATAACCTTATTTTAAAGGAATGATTTATCACTGTTTACTGATGTAATAATATTTCGGAAACTTTTTCATCAAGATGATTGTCGCAGGATAAAAAAATTCTACTTTTTCCACTATAATTTGAAAGGTACCGCCTCCCATTTCTTAAGAAAACTTTTTTTTTACCTATATATCCTAATATATGTATTTAAACCATACGTTTAACCAACGAGTAAAATTCTAATTTGTAATCAATAATTCTTGTTAATGTATATTTCAAAAAATGTCACGTAATTTATACCTATATTAAATATTTAGTTTACCCGTTTTATTTATTATTGTATTTGAACGCATAGTCAAGTATATTGTTTTCTTGACTAAAGCCACAGTGCTTTACTGAGAAGAAGTGTTTAGGTATTTATGCCACGTTGGTTATTTCATTAAGGCCTCTAGCGAATTGGCTATGACCCAAAAGATTTAGGTAGCATTTTACCGAATGCACTCCTTCATTTATCACAAGGTTTGTGGAATAACTGCTTTTATTCGAAGATAATGAATTTTAAAAAAAAAGACCAAGTCGGACTCGGATTTTGTTCTTTACATTCTCTACAAACGAAATATAGAGTAAACATGAAGAAAATTAATCATATTATAGCCTTTAATCGTCTGTTGTTTTAAGTTTGGGTAATGCATAGTAAAAGAACCTTCTCCCCCAACGTACGTTGACCTTGTCGTGGTGGGGGGACTCATTATTTTTCCCAACGTTAAAAAATGGCATAGTAAAAGAAAAAAATGTATAATAACTAATGTGACCTAAGTTTTTAGAACCGCTAGATATATCGAGTAATAATTATTTTATTTCATAATAATTATTAGAGAAAACAATATATAGAATAGAATTTTCAATATACCTATAGATGTACATAAAATTAAAAAGCAACCTGTTTACGTTCTTTTATTGATAACACTAAATTTCTTTGCTGGCGTCACTCGTCAATAACTACTAAACAAAAAAAAAGAGAAACGTTGGACAAACAGAGAAGAAAAAGGTAATTTATACCTAGATAAAATTGTAACACATTGTACCTATAAAGTTTACGTCCAATCTACCAAGTTCTATAGCTTAATTGTGATATATACGAATAAAGTCAAATATAAAACGTTGTTTTCTAATAAAGATTAAATGGGGAGTGGCAGGAAATGCTCCACCGTCTCACACGCGACTGAAAACACGCAAAGTACATTCTAAGAACAGACTCTATTTTATCTCAACCTTTACTTACAGACCGGTATTTTATTATCTCTTCCAGCTTAATAACGCAAGATTGGATGTACTAAAAAAAATCTTATGAAGTTTAACTCTTTCCTTATATATTTATAATAAAATCGATTTAGTTATGCCGACTAAAATAAGAGCTAACTAATTGATTTGCTCTATATACGAATAAAAAACGGATTTATCATTAGAGAGGCAAAGGTGACCCTTAATTACAACAACGTGATGTTAATTAAATAGTTTTAATTGCGAACTTCAATATTTTCACTTCTTTACCTTATCATAAAGTAACAATTTTAATTACAATTATATTTTCTTTTTATTTCTACTGATAATTTAAATATTGTTAGAGATATTTGTTATGTACATAAATCATGTTTTATTGCAATCAATGTGAAACTTAATCACAATCTATACTAATATTATATAGAAGTAGAGTTCGTGTGTTTGGTTATTTGTTTGAACGCGCTAATCTCAGGCACTACTAATCCGCTTTGAATATTTTTTGCATTAGATAGTCTGTTTATTGAGGAGGGCTATAGGCTATATATATATATATATATATATATATACCCTGCAGCCTGGGTCTTGAATAAGGCTGCGGTAACTCCTGCCTGTCGTAAGAGGCGACTAAACGGAGTCTCGGCGGGAAAGGCAAACCTCAGCAGATATGCTACTGGTGTTGGCGGACCCGGCGAAATAAAAGGCAAGGTGGATGGCCATGAGGGCGGCGGTAGTTAGCATAGCTGCTATCGTCGGCCAGACACATCATCCAAACCCTTCTCTAGTCGTAGCGGTCTCCCGTTCCATTAGATCAAGAAGGGGGAGGACGAGTGTGTGCGCCTGCGTCTGCGCGTACGCTTGTGCACCTAAATATCTCCTGCGCATTTGACCGTTTCCGAATACTGGACTCCGAGGACAAAAAGTCCTATGGCGATAGGACAAGGTAGAGAGGTCTGGTCTGATGCAAACCGGACTTTGTCCGAGTCCTGCACATAGGCGGCCCCAGGGGTGTTGTATTACACCGTGGTCGCTTTTGCACTGCAATTGGGAATGACAGTGTGAATTCGGCAGCACCTGGGATGACAAAGCAGCCCTATTTAGGGAGACACTGCTTTCCTCGCTCAGCCGAGGAGGGGGCTAGAAAAGGTGCCTTAAAAATTGTTCATTCCCATTCGAAAGGTGGTAGTAACCGCGGCTGCCATCGCATTCCCTTATACGCGGTCGAAAACTAAAAAATAAAAACAACATGCAAACATCTATCATGACGTTTGGTGCGTGGAACGTGAGGACACTGCTTGACCAAGATGGCAATGCTTGCCCTGAACGCAAAACTGCCATAGTAGCGCGGGAACTTCGTCGCTATAACGTAGATGTGGCTGCTCTCAGCGAAACACATCTTTCTGACGAAGGAGAGTTGATAGAAGATGGCGGCGGTTACACTTTCTTTTGGAAAGGTACCGCAGCGTCCGAACCAAGACGTTCTGGAGTTGGTTTTGCCATCAAAAACCATCTAGTCAAGCGACTCGGAGAGTACCCCTTGCATATCTCAGACCGCGTTACCACATTGCGCCTTCACCTGGACAAAGACAATTACCTTAATGTCATCAGTGTCTATGCACCTACACTAGACAAGTCTGATGACATCAAGGACAGGTTCTATGAAGAACTTTCCCACTGTCTAGACAGCATTCGCCCCCAAGAACAAATACTACTATTGGGCGACTTTAATGCCAGAGTTGGACGAGACTATGAGACTTGGCCTAGAATCTTGGGCAGACACGGAGTTGGCAACATGAACCATAATGGTCAGTTGCTACTGAGTCTTTGTGCTCAATACCAACTTGCGGTTACGAACACTATGTTTAGACTTCCAGCTAAGCACAAGACTACGTGGATGCACCCGCGGTCTAAACACTGGCATCTTATCGACTATGCTGTCGTAAGACAAAGAGACATTAGTCAGGTCCAAATCACCCGCGTTATGCGTGGTGCCCATTGTTGGACTGACCACAGGCTAGTTGTCACTAAGCTGCGACTCCACCTGCATCGTCCTCGTCGATCCATAACAAAAAAGCCTTCTTTCATAAACGTGGATAGGCTGAAAGATCTTGAGGTAAGGCAAAAACTTGTCAACGCCATGACTGGAAAGCTGTTGCCAGTTTCCAAAGAGGCCGGAAATGTCAATGCTGACTGGGGGACCTTATGTTCTCATCTGTTAGATGCCGCTATTCCCACCCTGGGCCTAAAAGACCGACACAGGGAAGATTGGTATGATGATAATAATGAGGTCCTCACGACAGCTATCAGCAAACACCGAGAGCTCTTGCGACAGCATGGACGGCGAGGTTTGGACATTGCTGTGATCAAAACAAGTGACCAGGAACTGCGTAAGCTGTCTCGTCAAGTCAAAGACAAGTGGTGGCAGGACAAAGCTTGTCGCATACAGTGGCTTGTAGACTCAAACCAGCTTGGGGAGTTTTATTGCGAGATTCGTAAGCTGATTGGTACTTCCTACAGAGTCAGAGTGCCTCTTAAGTCCTCGGACGGTGAGCGTCTCTTGACAAGTAAGGAGGACGTACTTAATCGTTGGGCAGAACACTTCAATAGATTGCTCAATGTAGATCGATCAGCCGATCTAAGTCATATCAGCTTATTGACTCAACTTCCTCTTGCTACCGAGCTAGGTGAGCCGTTGTCACGCGATGAAGTTGTTACTGCCATCAGACAGCAACAGAACAATCGGGCGGTTGGTATCGACTGTATACCGGGAGAGTTGCTGAAATATGGCGGTAAGGAATTGCATACGTTGGTGTGGGAGCACTTTGTTCGTATGTGGGAAGAGGAGAAAGTCCCGGATACTTTCAAAGTATCTAGCATAATTGCCCTCTATAAAAACAAAGGTGACCGTTCCCTTTGCGATTCCCATCGAGGTATTTCTCTTTTGTCGGCCCCCGGTAAGGTCTTTGCCAGAGTTCTTTTAAACCGCCTCAGGGGTCTGTCTGAAAGGATTCTACCGGAGACCCAGTTTGGCTTCCGTCCTGACCGAGGCACATGCGAGGCAATCTTTTCCGTTCGGCAACTGCAAGAAAAAAGCAGAGAACAAGGTCGTCATCTATACCTCTGCTTTGTCGACTTGGAAAAAGCTTTCGATAGTGTGCCCCGGGAAGCCCTCTGGCTAGTGCTGCGAAAACTGGGGTGCTTGGACAAGTTTGTGAGACTTTTAAGACTCCTGCACGACGATATGCAGTGCTGCGTCGCTCTAGACGGTGAACAGTCGGAGTTTTTCCCCGTTACCTGTGGGGTAAAACAAGGGTGTGTTTTAGCACCCACGCTGTTCGCGTTGTACTTTGCAGTAGTAGTCCGGGAAGTTCTGCAAACTTCGGTTGAAGGTGTCCGCATCCGTTTTCGCACAAATGGTAGACTTTTCAATTTGGCTAGATTGAAAGCGTGTACCAAAGTGTCTTACGCCATGATCACAGAGATCATGTATGCCGATGACCTTTGCTTTTTAGCGGAAACCCCAGATGGACTTCAGCAGCTGATGTCGCGTTTTCATCAGGCTTGCTGCAAATTTGGCCTAAAGATTAATGTCAAAAAGACGGAGGTGATGTCCACAGACATGCATGGTCATGAGACATTGTCAATAAAGCTTGGTGAGGATGTGCTTCAGCAAGTTGATAAGTTCTGTTATCTGGGGAGCACTATAACATCTAAGTGTGACCTTGATGCTGAGATCAATAGCAGGATCGGTACTGCTGCAGCAGTGTTCGGAAAACTATGTTCCAAGGTCTTCCGCTCACACGACCTTAAACTAGCCACTAAGGTGTCTGTCTACATGGCGATAGTGCTGCCAAACCTTCTATATTCCTCTGAGACGTGGTGCGTGTACCGTCACCACATTCGCACACTAGACAGGTTCCATCTTAAATGCCTGCGCAGTATCATGAAGATCAGCTGGTCTGATCGAGTGCGAAATACCGAAGTTCTGCGTCGAGCCAATGTCGGTGGCATTGAGACATACTTAATGCGTCGCCAGCTTCGGTGGTGCGGACACGTCTCGCGAATGTCGGAGGATCGAGTGGCGAAGCGCATCTTTTATTCAGAACTGCAGGAGGGTAAGCGAAAACCAGGCGGCCAACTCCTCAGATACAAAGATGTTCTGAAGCGGCATATGAAAAGATGCAACATTGAACCCTCGAAGTGGGAAGGTTTGGCGGCACAGCGCCCTGAATGGCGTAGCCTTGTTCTGAGGCAGGTTCGCGTCTTCGAGGATCAGCGCAAAACTGACCTCGATGCTAAGCGCGATGACTTAAAGGCTCGACCACCTGCAGCCATTCAGTATAATTATGTTGATGGTAAACTCACGTGCGCCTGGTGCGCACGGGAGTTTAATAAGAAGATCGGCTACATTAGCCACCTTCGCGCGCATCAGCGCCGGGACAAATAGGAGTTGAAGTGGTCGCCAAGACCGAAAACGGTCGGAACAAACACACACACACACATATATATATATATATATATATATATATATATATCATCATGCTACCACTCAAGCGAGCGGAGCAGTAATCATAAATGTCAACAAATCGAACACACTTCCATACATTATTGTAAAACTGATGTTTATAATTAACATGAAAGTTTAACGCGGATGAAACCGCGGGGCACAGCTAATATAACAATTAAAAAAAGCTGATATATTTGTTTCTTTTATTTTTGTTTCAACACATTTATTTCTGAAGTCAAAAAAAATTGCATTGGATATCCTAATTCTTGAAAAAGGTTATAAGCTATCTAACACTACGCACATAGGATCGAAACAGTTATATACATAGACCATGAACGAGTCTCTAATTCGTTCATGACATAGACTAAGCGAGCTGGGTCGCGGAAAAAGCTAGTAAATTGTATAAGACTTGATGACAGTTTCGCTCGCGTTGTAGAGTACGTAAATCAAAAATAGCCTATGTTCACGGTAAAAGTTATGTATGTCCATTTCGAACTTTATTTGATTTATATATAAAGCCTTGATTAATTAAGCATGAAAAAACAAGAAACACGCATTTATTAAATCACTCATTCACGGACATTCAAATATATAATATGGATGTGGTTATCAATGTATATATATTTAATTTACTCTAATCTATAAAACTTATACGAGAATGGAAAAACAATAATTATATGAAATATTCCTTGTGTTGATGAGAAACAACATCAGGTTGCAAATTGTAAAGCTCTCTTAGTCTATTACGTCTTATAGTTCTTCAATGATAAATTGATAGATATAGATTAATAAAAAATATTAAAAAGTTCTTGTACAAAGCCTAATTAACACTCTTAGCTACATCCTAGATAATATATACATATGTATAACGTATAAACTTCTTAGCGAAAGCTATACCTCGAGTTGTAATATTTACTTTTTCTCACCAAGAATCAGTGAGCAAAGGTAATTAAGGATCTATTCAATTATCTTCTAATTGGCAACAAATGCTTCTCATCGCACAGGCAGAATAACATTATTGCAATAAGTTAACAGGGCGGGTATTATTAAACTGGAAACGGTGCAGTCAATCGAGTAGTCAATCTAGTACAATGTAGGGTGCGTATTGTAATGCTTAATCAGGTTCGTGTTATCTGTGGCTGGTGGTAAAATCGATATCGACATAAAGAAATTAATTAATATTAGTATAAAATATTACATTGATAATATATTTTTTTTAATTTAGTTTAATTATGTCACTAGTAGCTAATTTGATTCCTGGTCGTGACATATTAGATATATGATTTACATATAAAAATTCATATACCTATTTTGATTGAGACTTTTTTAGGTTTTTTCGCAATGACATAACCTATACTACATGTAAAACCAAGGGACTCGTTAAAACCATCACTTTAAAAGTCATTCGAAAAACTTGACATAATCAGCTTTTTACTAAAGAAACGAATGGGAGTTAAAAGAATTAAAATGCTTTTTTATGTTTTAGTGTCATGCGAATGAAGCATGAAAAAATCCTTGATAAGATTTTAAGTTGGAATTTAATTAACATAATACCTTCTGTTCGTAATTTCACCCACATCAAATGTATTTTTTTCCATAAACACAATCTATATATAGTTTTGAGCAGCACAATCTATTCATAAATTCGGAGTTTAAGTGATGTTGAAATACCAAGTTTCATCCAAATCCGTCGAACGAAGTATGCGTAATTCAGGCGCAAATATCGAAATCTTTACAAACTTTCACATTTTCAAAATTACTCGTCAGCTCGTTTTGGTTGCGCTAAACATCTTTATAGGTATATCAAGATAGATGTATTAAGAGGTTTCCGTGACATAACCCATGCTTGTAAGTTTCAAAAACGCACTATTCCACGACAAACGTGTCTCGGCTATATTATTTTAGTCCAGTATTACTAAAAAATTAAAACGACGTATATTACTTTCTTCTATTAGCCTAATTAACATTTTTTCAATTAATTCCTGTATGATAGTTCGAAAATATGGTCTCCCTGTAGAGCACTTCAGTTGCGTTTTTTTCTTTATCGATACTTCGGATCGCTCGTAAAAATGAATTCACGATCTAATATGATCAATGATCGTGAAATAGCTGGAGAAAATATATGTCCGAATATTACTAGAATTCAATTTGAGCAAATAAAATTATTTTTCATAAAATCCTTGAAGTGGCCATCTCAGTAATAGATTTTGGGGAAAGAGGATTAGAATTAGGAACATAAGTACGGTAAAAGGTAAGTTCGGTTCTTATATTTTTAATATGAAAGTTTGTGAAGGTAGGAAGGTACTAGGTAGATGTAGTATATAAAATTCATATAAATTTTCCTTGGAGCTGCGCATTCCTACGACGTAGTTCTGAAATCTAATATTCTTTATTTTACAAAATAAGTATAAATACTTCGTAAAGTATGCACGTATATTATTATATCTATCCTACGGGAACCGTAAATTTCTCAGGGATGATATATATATATATATATATATAATATATATATATAATATATATATCTATTATATATTATAATATAATATATATATTTATATGTCGTGGTTCTCCAATATTACTACGAACATCATCTTTGGTGGTTACTCAAATCTGTGTGGGCGTTATCAGGGCTCAAATAATAAAGTATTCAGTGACTCATATACACAATTTAATCGGGAATCACACAATGTGATAAAGTTGAAACGGTTAATTCTAATGAAATTTTAGGAGCTCTAAGCGGGTTTCCCGACAAGTCACCCGATCAATCCCGACTTCCAACTACAATATCAAGATATCACCTCTCTAATGATCAAACCAACGTTACTCTAAGCCACGTATCTCCAAAGAAATGTCCTGATGGCGTCCTCGACTCGCCGCTCGAGGACTAAATATCTGCTGCTCTAAATTCCAAAATGAGCAATAAAAATTAAATTAAAGAACATAGTGACTTTGTTAAACAATAATAAGGTTTCAATAACAGAAAAAAGGTAAACTAAATCCTCCTCCGTCCTTATATATAACTATAACGAGTATATTATAATAGCCTCTAGCCTTCCTCATAATAAATGGGCTACTCTAATGCAAAAAGAATTTTTCAAATCGGGAATTAGTATTTCCTGAGATTAGCGCGTGTCAACACACAAACAAACAACAACAAACACACAAACAAACAAACAAACAAACAAACAAACAAACAAACAAACAAACAAACAAACAAACAAACAAACAAACAAACATTCTCTTTATCATATTAGTATAGATGTGCATTTGTTATATAAAAAAATAAGTTGCATATAAGGAAAAAACTATATGTATTTTCATTTTTAAACTTATATGTAGAAGGTAATGATTATATTTTAAGTTTAACCTTCATGCCATCTTAATAGGATAAGAATTTAACTACCATTATTCGTTCACTTTTGTGTAAATTAATACATAAATGTCACGATTCTACTGTATTGTATTGATCCCTTTTTAACGTCCCACTGCTGGGCACGGGCCTCCCTTCAATACGAGGGGGAAAAGGCCGTAGTCCGCCACGCTGGCCAAATGCGGGTTGGCGGTCTTCACACGTCTTTCGAAAACTTGCTAGGTTTTCTCGGATATGCAGGTTTCCTTACGATGTTTTCCTTCACCGTAAGACAAGTGGTAATCATGTTAGAAATGATTCGCACGTGAAAATATCAGAGGTTCGAACCCGCTTCACTTGGTTTCCGAAACGAGCGCGTTACCACTGGGCTACCACTGTACTTTAATACAATTCGATAGCTGAATCTACAGACTAAACTTCATACAGTTGTATAACATGTAAACGCGGATTCAGTTGTCGTGTTACATAAAATAATTTCTAATGCTGCGATATTTATTAATTAGGGAATACATCTCTTGAAAAGTTTTGAAATCCACATTTTGATATTTGCGCTTATTTATAATATCGTTTATACATAAATATTAAACCCTGGATAGAAATTATGTAATTTTAAGCCACTCATATTTATTAAATTGATTTCATATTATTTTTAAAATTCTTATATGCACTGTTACTAATAAAACTAAACAGTTTTTTGTCGTCTATTTTTATTCACCAAATGCTAATTCAACCTATTTTAGGATATTTAAATTCAACTAAAGAAAGAAACCTTGCTAGCAAATATAGAATTGAACGTTTTAAATCGCCCACACTGTAAACTTGTCCTATCGCTCACAGGCTCTAGGCATTTCAGCTTAGATCAAGGTAAAAATATAAAGATAATTCACGATGGTTAATTTGTCATAATTTTGTAATAATTAAATTAAAAAAAAAAGAATAACAATTTAAATTTATATAGTAATTAATTTATAATTTTTATTACTTTTTAACTATTGTCTACAATGAATGCTATGTACACTTGTAATAGATATACATATCAGATACTTACTTTATATAACTAATAAGATTATCAGAAATGTTTTATATGTAGGTATATTATTAGTGTGCTTTATATAAAATAAATAAATAAATAAATTTATTAGTTAAAAAAATGAGAACTAGCGGCTTACCCTCTCTTTGCTCGGATGCGGCTTCATCATCTGTACTTTAAATATTTTTTGGAAAACCTTATTGAAATAGACATTAAGCTGGTTATCCAGGTCAACATATAGTATACTTTTACGACGGGAAGATATCATCTTTGAGAAATCTATACTAAATATTCAAACGTAACTAGGAACGAACTCGAGCGGAACGAGGGTGAGTCGCTAGTTTCATATAACTCCGTCCAGCAATTTGAGCGTAAAGGAGTAACACAGGGAGGGAAAACACACACACACACACATACCACTCACACAACACACCCATCACACTCACACCACACATAGCTCACACACGCACGGAACGCACGACGCACCAGCACAACGCCACATGCACACGACGCGTAAGCGCACCACGCATACTCCACCCAAACCACACACACCACATTGCACGCAACGCACACCAACATGTATAAACTTGAGCATTTATAATAGTAACGTTAACCTCACTATGACTCTCTTTTCACTTTTCACTTTTTCACTGGGCTATAGAGTAAAGTAACAAGAAAAATTGCAAGAAAAAGTCTAGGAAATACCTCAGCAGTTTTATATAATTTAAGTCGTCAGGGCAAACCGAACACATTTTGAAATAATTTTAATTAAAATTGATTAATTTATATTATTAAGATTTATATAACATTTTTACATCACTTTCGACACTATTACAAATACATATAATATTTGTACTTGTATAGTTAACCTGTTAACATACTGCTTTGCGAGCTTAGACTAGATAATATTTCGAAGTCGTTCACGAATAGAAATTTCATATATACTTTAATATACCACTAATTTACCACTTTATTGTTCGTTAAAAACCAACACATGTACGTATGTATGTAGGAATACTTTTCATATCATGCCAATTATCTTAATATCTAAATAGTTTTTTACTCACACGTCTATTCTTTCTTTACTTAAAAGTCACTTTAAAGCCCTTAACAAATAAATAAACTAGATACTTACTCGTTGCTTTCATCAATATCTAGGCTTACTGCTAGTCTAGTACCCACATATCCAATTCTGCTAGACTGTCCAACTATCCTAACTTGAACAAAAAAGTGATCAGGTCAGAGAAAAGAAGAGAGGCGACGGTAAACCCTAGGACGTGCGAAAACCGAGACACTTACGGCCTTGATATGAAAAATCACCTGTCAAATGTCAATGCACTCGATGTCGTTCAGATGCATAAATCCACAAAATAAAATCGCACTTTGCTCTACCAACGATTCCGCTATAATAGCATTTATTATGAGAGCCGTAAGAGCTAGTATGTTAGTTATTTTAGACTCAAATATAGCCACATTCAAATTCGCAATATACAGACGATTGCAAAAATAGCTTTTATTACATAATCTTAAGGGTGATTTTTGCAAATGAAAATACACTGAGAGTAGTAACTGCAGTGGCTTTCCAACTCACTTTTACTCGCACAAAATTCGTTAAAGACTTTTTGGACTGTCAAATTTCGTATACCGTTTTTAGTGCACCAGTGTCTTTTCCTCTAAAATCCTAGTCATTGTCAAATACGTGCAGAGGATGTTATTCGCATAAAATGTAACAAAATTTTCGTATAACTTATAAGGAGCTTTCTACAAATATATATACTTCTCACATATTAAGATAACTAGAGTAAATACGTCTCACACACAAATAAGGAGGTTTAGCACTACA